GAGGAGGTAACTCTATCAAGCATTTTGACAGAATTAAGCCCCTTTTTCGACTTAGAATTTACGTTTAAGTTTTTGTAATAGTTCAAATATTTTCAAAGTCCATTGACATATGGCTTTGAAACTTTGCACACTTGTTCAACATCATGATCCCAATCTGTAAACAGTAGGAGGTAACTCTGTCAAGCATTTTAACAGAATTAAGCCCCTTTTTCGACTTAGAATTTACGTTAAAGTTTTTGTAATAGTTCAAATATTTTCAAAGTCCATTGACATATGGCTTTGAAACTTTGCACACTTGTTCACCATCATGACCCCAACCTGTAAACAGGAGGAGGTAACTGTATCAAGCATTTTTTTACTATCAAGCACTAAGAATAGTCGAGCGTTGCTGTTTTCGTACCGACAGTTCTTGTTATTTTTGGAGTCCTGTAATATTTTCCAAAAAGTTTATTACTTCTGTTGCCTTATTGCAATAAGTACATTTATAGTGATTTAGTACTTTGTATGGAAGTCAAAATACTACTTTGTTTACATTTTGCAACTTTTTTTGACAAATACAATGTAATTTCAATGTCATTTTTTTCTATCAATATACATTTAACAAGCTCTTACACTATTATTTAAACATAATAAAACTCATGGTTGCTATTTGTAAAGAAGGAAAAAATCTTGTCTGAGGCATAATGTGCCTTTAACATTTTACCTGTATATAAAAGGCTCAATGTGCCCCAAAAATCCTGCTCTTTTCATTTTTTAACACTTTTTGTTTTGATGCCCTGTTAAAATTTCCAAAAAAGTACATAATTGTGATAAAGAGTGGAACTATTTTTTGCTTTTTGGTAATACATTGTCTGAGTACAGTTATAGTGATTAAGTATTTTGTTTTAAAGTCAAAATACCACTTTGTTTACATGTTGCTACAAGAGAATTGTACGTGATCAAGTATGACACATCTTTATGAAGCAGATAGAACAAAACAGTATTATCAAGTGTATAATAGTTCATACTAAATCACTTAAAACTCTATCAAAATTATTTTATAAAGAAATATTTTATATGCTTAGAGCATGGTTTATATATATAATACTAGTATTTTGAAAAAGATATAAAAAATGTGCAGATGTAGACCAGTTCAGATGAGTTTTTGTGATCACTTGATGTCTGTTGTTGGTAGTTATCCAGACTTTATTTAAATTATCCAGACTTTATTAAAATTATCCAGACTTTATTTAAATTATCCAGACTTTATTTAAATTATCCAGACTTTATTTAAATTATCTAGACTTTATTTAAACAACATTTCTCTTAAACAAAATTTGCCCCAGTTTTTGGGTCACTTATATTGAATAGACATATTTTTATGCCACCGCAGCATCTGCGATGCGGTGGCATATAGCGATTCAGCTGTGTGTGTGTTTGTTTGTGTGTGTGTGTGTTATATAGATTATATAGTGAACTTAAAAAATCTTCTTGTGAAAAACCACTAGTCCAATTTCAACCAAACTTGGCAGGATTGATCCTTGGGTGAAGGGCTTCCAAAGTTGTTCAAAGAATTACATTCCATGCAGAAATCTGGTTGCCATGGCAACCAAAAGAAATTATAAGAATAAATTAAAAAAATCTTCTTGTAAAGACCCAAAAGGCCTAGAGCTTAGATATTTTGCATAACGCATTGTCTGGTAGACCTCTACCAAAATTGTTCAAATTATAGCCCTGGGGTCAAAATCGGCCACGCCCCGGGGTCATTGATTTTCACTATATGTACATGTAGAAAAACCTAAAATACCTTCTTGTAAAGACCCAATAGGCCTAGAGCTAAGATATTTTGCATAAGGCATTGTCTGGTAGACCTCTACCAAGACTGTTCAAATTATAGCCCTGGGGGTCAAAATCGGCCCGCGCCCTGGGGGTCATTGATTTTCACTATATGTACATGTAGTAAAAACCTAAAATACCTTCTTGTAAAGACCCAAAAGGCCTAGAGCTTAGATATTTTGCATAAGGCATTGTCTGGTAGACCTTACCAAGATTGTTCAAATTATAGCCCTGGGGGTCAAAATCGGCCCCACCCGGGGTCATTGATTTCACTATTTTGTTCACATAGTAAAAACTTAAAATACCTTCTTTTAAAAGACCAGAAAAGGCCAAGAGCTTAGATATTTTGCATAAGGCATTGTCTGGTAGACCTCTACCAAGATTGTTCAAATTATAGCCCTGGGGTCAAAATCGGCCCCCCCCGGGGTTCATTGGTTTTTCCTTAATGTATATAGTAAAAACTTTAAAAAAAATTTCTTCAAGCAATTGACAAATGCTAGAGGTTAGATGTTTTGCATGAAACATTGTGAAGTGAACTTCTAGAAAGATTGTTCAAATTATAGCCCTGGGATCAAAATTGCCCCCGTCCTGGGGGTAATTGATTTTCAATATATACGTATAGTAAAAAGTCAAAAATCTTATTGTCTGAAGGTACAAGGCTAAGAGCTTTGATATTTGTTAAATAATATCATCTATAGGTACTCTACCAAAGTTGTTCAAATTTTGCCTCTAGTGTCAAAATTAGCCCCGCCCCGGGGGCAATAGGTTTTCCTTATATGTATAAAGTAAAAACTTACAAAATCATCTTCTCTAAATTTACAAAGGCTAAAGTTAAGATATTTTGCAAGAAACATTATGTAGTGAACCTCTAGTAAGATTGTACAAATTATAGCCCTGGGTCAAAATTGGCCCCACCCCCAGGGGTCATTGATTTTCACTATGTACATATAGTAAAAATTAAAAAATCTTCTTGTCTGAAGGTACAAGGCTTAGAGCTTTGATATTTGGTATATAATATCATCTATGAGTCCTCTACTAAAGTTATTTTAATTATGCCCCTAGTGTTAAAATTACCCTGCCCCAGAAGCGATAGTTTTCCTTATAAGATAAAGTAAAAACTTGAAAGTCTTCTTCTCTGAATTGAAAAATCTTCTTCTCTGAATTGACAAAGACTAGAGGTTAAATATATGGCATGAGACTTTGCAAAGTGAACCTTTACCAAGATGTTCAAATTATTGCCCGGGGGTCATTGATGTTCATTATGTACATATAGTAAAAGATAAAAAATATTTTTGTCTGAAGGTACAAGGCATAGAGCTTATAATGCGGTGGCATAGCATTTTTCTCAAATGCAATCTTGTTTAAATCTGCACCTTCTTCCATATTTGGCATGTAGCATCACCTTGTGGTCCTCTATACATGTTATATTTCATAAATCATGCCTAGAGGCTGTACACAGTGTCAGTTTATGTCTAAATAATGAACAGAAGGACACCTGAGGTCTTCCTCCAGTAATGTGCTAATGTGACATAAAACCCAACCCCAAAAAATGCAAACAAATTAAATTGGAAATTAAAAAAAAATAAAAAAAAATTAACAGTAGTTTATATACCTCACACCTTGTTCCATTTTAGTGACACCTCTGTATATACGTAAACCAGGCATTGTGTAGCTAGGGTAGTGCATGTCTTACCAGTTCTGTCCGGGATATAATTAAGAGACTTTAGTTTATTTATAATTCCCACCTGTTGCCCATTCATGCCACATCTCTGCAAGAAAGTTGAACCTAAGTCATTGATCATCAATTGGTGTCTTAATTGAAATATACAGCAATACAGTCTAATACTCCAGTCTAGAAGGCATTACAGGATTGTATAATTATTTTCAAGGTGTAAATTTGCCTATCCTAGGGACTCCCTGTTAAAGGCTCATCCAATCGAATGATAATATTCTGAAAATGAAATAGTCGGAGATCTATTATGGTTGTGAATGAATTTTGACACTAAGAATGGTATTCACAACAAAACTTATTAATATGCCAGTGTTTTGCCTGTGTTTTCTGGCATGTTTTTATATCACATGTAGGAAACAATGTTGTTTCTCCTAAATTTTTACCAATTCAAATACAAGCCGTTTTTGAACCTTCTCTGAGTTAATGAAATTTTCATAGGTGTGGTAATTTATTTTTAATGTAAACCTGCGTTGTACTTTGATTGATATATTCAGATTAAAAACTTTGCTTTAAGGAATGTCTTGCTGTTTTCAAATGGAGCCTAATATAATCATATATATCAGCCGCGTCATGACAGAACCAACATAATGGGTTTGCGACCAGCATGGATCCAGACCAGCCTGCGCATCCGCACAGTCTGATCAGGATCCATGCTGTTCGCTATCAGTTTCACTACTTGTTATAGACTTTGTAAGCGAACAGCATGGATCCTGATCAGACTGCGCGGATGCTCAGGCTGGTCTGGATCCATGCTGGTCGCAAACACACTATGTTGGTTTTGTCATGACGCGGCTCATAAATTATAAGGCTGGCGTTACAGAAACATTTATCTTTATGCCTCCTGGTGTTTATCAAGTGAAGCATTCAGTTGCAAGTTTGTCTAGCAGTCATTCTTTCCATCACACTGAGATCTACATGGAAAATTAGAAAATTCACTCCACTCCACACCACCATACCCCACGCCACCCACATCACCGCACTTTGCTGTGTGTCGCCTCACCTCATTTCCTTACTGGTAGGAATTTCATGCCAGTTGTCTTAAAACAATTCAACATGATGGAATTTGAAATAATTTTTATATTTTTCAAGATTAATGTTCAATTTGATATCTAGGCCAATAACTAGTGCATAAAATTTCAGGGCATATACTTGCTTGTTTTTTCCAGAATAAAATGACCCAAAAATGAAAAGAGTTATACATTGTAATGGTTTTTACACCAAGTGGGCTTAGAATTGCTCACAAACACAGTTTTAATTTATTTCTGAGTCTATTTCACAAACTTTCTGTGTTTAGTGCCCAGCTGATCTATGTAAGAAATTCAAATTTTATGGTTTTATGTTTTCAGTGGATTTTCCTTTAAGGACACTTAAAAGACTAACTTAAGATTTTTGCACTTTTCTGCACTGTAAGATAAATTTTTTTATCCAAATTGAGTGTTGAATTGTATTTCAGGTCAGCCGGATGTATTCTTGGAGAACTTTTGGCCCACAAACCTTTGTTGCCGGGCAACTCAGAGATACATCAAATAGATCTGATCGTAGAAATGTTCGGTACACCAAATGACACTATATGGCCAGGATTCTCGGATCTACCGGCTCTTAAACAATTCACTTTGAAAAAACAACCGTGAGTTATCAATTTGTGTGATATAACTATTATGAAAATATGTAAAAATACAAGATTATGAAAGGTAGTAAAATCATGTCTGTTTACTTTGAAAATGGTCACGAAGAATGGTTATATCATGTCAGTGAACTAAGAATAAAACAACAACCTTAACATCCGCATTTCTGATCTGGATGGCAATTTCATCTCCAAATAACATCCATAAGTTTTAGGTAAACATGTGCTTTATGTACTGGAGTTCTATGGCTAAGAACTAAATGAACAGTGTATAAATACAATCTGCTGCTTTGAGCTTAGGAGTATTTAGTAAAGGAAGCCATCTTGTTTATTTGGTTGGCAAATTTTCTTTCCCATTGCCAGTCTTGGTTATGTAATAAAAGTCCGGATATGTCATGTTAACAAAAATGCGTTGTTGAAATCAGTCAAAAAACTTATATTTTTGTAGATGATAATTTGGTTCTTAAAAAGATCGAGGGTTGACCACAAAACTGCAGTACCAGTAACTTCTATGAAATAAAGAAGGTTTAACAACAGTTTTGCAATCAACCCTCGACTGGTACAATTGTATGAAGACTTAAAAAATTTGCCTGCTACTAACATGTTGGACTATGTGGGTGAAAAGATAATCTGAACGCTGCCTTCTTCTGAAATTATAACGAAACAATCAGAAGTTTTAGTGGTCTTTTTGCAAAAAAAATTCAATTTTAAACCTGGCAATTAAATTCAGAAACTTTCTAAAATCACATTTTATCCTTTACGTATTATAATCTTAAGTTGGCATTTCCCAGTTCTCGCATAATGTAACAGTATAAACACTTTAGGCAAATGTTTATAGGTGTATATGAACAATTTGATGTAAGTTTACGGTCTTTGAGAATGATTATTTGTATTTTCAGTTATAATAATCTCCGGCACAAGTTTTCATGGTTATCAGATGCTGGAATTCGTCTTCTGAATTTTCTCTTTATGTACGATCCGAACAAGAGAGCCACAGCTGAGGACTGTCTGGACAGTTCCTACTTCAAGGAACAACCATTACGTAAGCTTCCACACCTTTCTTCTCTACAGAATTGTTGACCTTTTTTTTAACTAATTGATTTAGCTTGATCCTCATGGATGCTGTCAGTTGATTTTACTGTCAGTAGATTAATTTTTATTCTCCTGGATGATGACAGTTGATTTAAATGTCAGTGGATTAAGCTTGATCCTCATGCATGCTGCCAGTTGATTTTACTGTCAGTAGATTTTGCTAGATCCTCGTGGATGTTGTCACTTGATTTTACTGTCAGTAGATTAATTTTTATCCTCCTGGATGATGACAGTTGATTTAAATGTCAGTAGATTAAGCTCGATCCTCGTGGATGCTGTCAGTTGATTTTACTGTCAGTAGATTAAGTTTTATCCTCCTGGATGATGACAGTTTATTTAACTGTCAGTAGATTAAGCTCGATCCTCGTGGATGCTGTCAGTTGATTTTACTGTCAGTAGATTAAGTTTTATCCTCCTGGATGATGACAGTTGATTTAAATGTCAGTAGATTTAGCTCGAACCTCGTGGATTTAGCTTAAAGTGGACATGATATGGATTCAAATAAATTATAAGAGCAAAAGCTGACTTATTTAAATTTATTTTAATTCAATGTTTCCATTCTTTCTGCAAATCTGTTTTCATATATTTTTTCGGGGTGAAGATAATGAAAGTTATAAATTAAGTTCTATGTTTATGACAGCTTGTGACCCAGAACTTATGCCATCATTCCCTCAACACAGATTAACACGACAGAAGAGAGGGTCTCCTCAGAAAGAAGAAGGGTAATATTTATTTTATTGATTGTTATAAGTTTTTCAAGAATGTGAAATTACATGATATTTTTCTTTCATCTGAGTGAAAAATTCACTAGGTTGTTGTTGACTTCAAATCACTTGCCTCTTACTGCTGTAGGTTTGAGTCGATCAAGTGTCGTTGGATTCTTGATTCTTTCATGTGAGAGAGCTATCCAGCTAGGTTATGAAATGTCAGTGGTTCTATTCAGATGTCAGTTTGTGCCTGAAATATTGTAAAGAGAGGCACCTAAGGTCTTTCTCCACCAATATAGCTAGAGTAGCCATATTACCTACGGTATATTGTGTTGGTACAATGTTAAACCTAACTTAGAAAATATATAAAAAATTTCAAGTGGCTTATGAGGAACAGACAGAACAGAGGGTGTAATGATGTGCTTAACCCTCACTCTGCTGTCAGCAACAGATTCTTCCCATGCCTCAAGTGCAGACCAAGGTCAGCCAGCTCAGCTGTGTCATCTTATCTTTGTCTGCACTGTCCACAGTGTAGTCAGTACTTGTATTGAAATTTTCTTCAACAATTTCGAATGGTTTAGTCCATATTGAAAGTTAGACAAGTCCATTTAGTAAGGGTTTATTAACTCATGATATATTAGGCACATAATACAATGTGTATTGTGGATTAAAAAAAAAAGACAGAAAAAAGTTTTGTTCAGTGCAAATTATACTTTGTTTACAGTCCATTCCTTTATAACAATATGAAAGGAACGCATGTATCAATTTAACAAATTTATTCATAAAATACACCAACACCTGCACACTGAAATTTGTAAAATGAATGTTTCTACCAATGTCTTAATAATGCAATCATGTTCATTTCAACCCTCCACTCAGGTGAGCAATTAAGGGCCATTATGGCCCTCTTGTTTGGCATGAAGGGCCTGGAATTATTGTGTACCATTTAATGTTGGTTTGGACATATAATTTGTGTACAAACAGAATGTTACTTGACTTTAAAAAAAATCATTATTTATGTATTTATAACATCACAATGAAATTAGCAATCAAGTATGATATTTTAGAAACAAGAACTTGTAATTGTTGAAAAAATGAAGTTATTGAGGTTAAACTGGCACTTGTATGTTATGTGATGATTTGAATTATTTTATATAATGTACTATATAATTTTTTTTTACTTTTAGGAAAGGGAAAACTTCTTCAGGACCATATCAAGACTTCAGTAACTTTGAGCCAACTTCTGTAAGTGTAAACTTATTGTACGGTGTATTGTACACTACCTTGCCTGCAGTCAGACTGCTAATTGATTAATCAGGGACAATCTTAGATTGAAAATTAAGTGAGAAGTGACTTCACCCTTTAGGAAAATAGGGAGAAGTTTGGAAATTTAGGGATAAGTGATATAATTGTGTCAGTCAGGAGGGTTGTTTTGGCTTTGTTTTTGTTTTCCCAGCTCTGTATCAGCTATTAATAATATAAGTAATTTGATATCAAAAGTTATTACATTAATGATTAAGAGTTCTCAGTTCAAAACAGGGCTAGTCTTTTTGTTTTTATAACCAAAGTAACTGGCAGTTTGTTCTTAATTTAATATAATTATTTGTTTTTCTGGGGTTTTTTTTAACACAGATTTTAATGCATTTCTAGGTCAAATCTTAGCAGTCGATCAGTCTAACTAGTTTTCCTGGATAACTAACCAGTAAATACCGATTTCTCCGCAAGTGTCTCGACTAATCTCACATGAGTTCTGAATCAATGGGGAGAAACAAACGACCATTAGACTAAATGTCCGAGATCAATTGTCGCCTTGCTCAAGGATTGAACCAGCAACCACTGGATTACTTATCAGTTGCACAGCCTGCTGGGCTAAGCAGACGGACATATTGTCACCTTAGTGCAATAACGGGTTAACTCCTATTCAGAAGGACTTAATCTGTTACTGCACTAAGGTGAAGAAATATATATGTATAATTATGTTTTCAAATTCCAGTAATGTGCAATTTAATAACAATTAATGAATAGGGAAAAGAAAACAGTTACTTGTTAATCTATCATTTATTTGACGCTTAAGTGTTTTGGTTATGGTATAATTGCAGAATTCTTTGTCAAGAAGATTTTCATAAAAAATTCTTTCCATTTTCTTTCAGGCGAAGAAGCAACGGTTAACTTGATGAAGTGTAATGAAATTCATTAAAGATTGGAAATGGCGTACATAATATTTGCAGTTGTTTTAAGTGAAGCTAACAACTGAAGAGATGATTTTGAAATGCTTATAAAAAAATTAGGAGCCGGTCCTAGTTTGGCAAATTGCCAATTTTGGTTGCAGAGGACAAAACTTTTGGTTGCCGAGGACGAAACTTGACATGTGATGGGTAGGAATGCAAGCCATGATGTGATGATGATTTGCCAACTCCCTTTCAACCTGCAAGGATTTTATACTTAATTCTGTTAAAAAATTTGTTTTTTGATCATGAAATACCTTAAACTGACAATAGACTGTTCCATTTTCACTGTAGGACAATGCCATTACAGAAATTAAGGTGTGATTGAGAAATATATTTAAGTTATTATACAAAGATAAGTCACTTGTGCAAAAATAACTCTCAGCATGGTATAAACAAGGATCTCGTGTAACAGTTACATTGGGGTAAACCAATTTGAGAATGTCTGTATTAGCGCTACGTAAAAAATTGTAAAATAATGTTGCATTGAAATGTTTAATATGTTGTGAATTCACAAAATTTTGTGGGCATGAAATTTCGTGGTTTTTTGTCACAAAGAATGTTTTCATGGGTTCTTAAATTTGTGGTGTGTTTATTTTTCCAAAAGGTAAAAATGTAAATAATTTGATGTAAAATAATCTTACAGCAGACGAAATAAAATTGTGAATTGACCAAACCACAAAAACCACGAAAAATTATTTTCCTACGAAAAATTAAGATTTTGCTGTATAGTTTATGAACATGAACAAAATGGCAATCTTATACACATAATTGACTTCATGTAACATAAAATTTTTATTGAAAGTTCAATATGCAGTAATGCAAATAATATATGTATTTTATATGCTAGCGCATGATTTTTTAAAAACAAAATGTTTGTTTTTATCATATTTTGTGTTAAGAAATGTTTATTTGATTAAAGATGATATTTCTTACCTGTGATACTATATTCCTTTATATCTGTAACACAGAAACAAGAAACATTGCATTGCACAATGGATGTCTCCCATCCTTGCACAGTTGTCAATCTTTTTCTTTGGCCATCAGTCATTAAATAAAAGGAAGTAAGTGCAATAGTTAAGCACCATTGACCTTGACCTAGTGACCTAGTTAGAACACCCAAGATATTTACTGTACCTACTAAATATGAAAGACATAAGTCAATGAATAAAGGCTGCATAAACAAAAGTATAAAAGTCTACAAGTTAGTATGTGTTGATGGGCTTTCGGAAAATGGTGTTTTTTTACGGACCTACATAGAATTGAAAAAGTTCCAGGAGATATCTCCGGGCTGGCACACAGGCATATTATAATTATCTTTTGGATGAGTGTTACATGCTTTATAAAGGGGAGCTTCCAATCTATCTCTAAAACTAAACCAACGAGTATGTGCTAGTAGGCTACTTTAAATATATATTTTAGATGAAAAAACTTAAGACAGGTTTCATACAAACTGCTAAAACTTAAATTCCAAGTCTTTTCCTATGATTTTTGTATTTTCTGATCGTAAGATCGGTAAATACATAGCTAACATCCACGGTCTAACACAAAATTTCCTCACAGTCCTAACAACGCAAAGTAGTTCTCACTCAAAACTGCTTAAAAACCAGCAATTTAAAAGAAAGAATAATTTTTAATGTAGGCATTTAACGAATTACAGTGCATTAAAAGTTTAGATTAGTCAATAGAAATATGAGGTTACAATCACAAATTTCGCGGATGAATATCTTGTTTACCCAATGAAAAATGTTCGGCTATTTCCGTAAAGCTTCGGATTATCATGAATATCATTTTAATCAATGAAAATGCTATTTTTAGCTATGTCGATTACCGAATACTCCAGAGCGTAGTACACAAATAAATCTGACTGTCGAGTACTGGAATATATACATGTCGGACTGTTTTGGCTAGAAGATTTTCGCAAAATTATTTTCATCAGTGTTAAACAACAGGTTTATCGTGAACAAAATACCTCGAAATTAATAAGGATTGCAAACACGAAATTGAAATTCTCAATTTAGAATTACATAATGTATTCGTTTTTATTCAAGGTACATATGTATTACTTTGCCGTGGTGCAGAGGTAAGCGGTCTCGTTGAGGGTGTGAGAGGCCTATGGTTCAAATCCTAGTCGAGGCAATTCTATTTTTTTTTCATGCAAAATTCCATATGATTGTATCAATCTCAAACTGTTATAGAAGAAAATCAAAACGCTGTCGCTGGGTAAGATGAATTATAGTATATAAAAATAAACTTATACAGGAAAGTACATACAGATAGTCCGTATGATTTAGATTGCAAAGATCAGAAAATACCATAGAGCTGCAGCCCTTTGATTTTTTAATTTTATGCATTCATGCTTTTCAATGATACTTTCATCTTTCTAGTCTGACATTTTTTTTTGGAAATTCCAATGTTTATTTCATGATAATATCCCCAAATGAAGTTTCCATCTTTTTTTTTTACCTCAAACCTCATTTTGCCTGGTCCGTTCAGTTAAAATATAATCAGATGAACTTGCCACTTTTGTTATAGCCAATGTATTACAGGCATTTTGTGACCTTACTTCTTGGCTGGGCGCCATATGTTACCATGAAAACACCTTCTAAGATACTGCACTTGTCAAGTCATGAATATATTTATCTTAGCTCATATATGATGAAAGCTGTAACTTACTAGAACCACTCTTGAGTCCGCTTCATGGAACTAACCAGTACAAGTGGCACGAGGAAACCTTGACCAAGTAGGACTCGAACCCATTATCCCAGGATTGAGAGGCAGGACACTTGAAGCAATCACAGAACCACCACTCCTCTTTAACAGTTTAAATTTCTTTTTTTCAGCAATGATCACTAATTTTGAGAACAAGATAAAAGTCATAGCTTTCCAAGGACGTGACTGTTTTATAAAACATGAAAACATGTAACAATTTTTACACATTTATTGATCAAATCATATCTTTAATACATGGTGGTATACAATAATTTCATGTATACTCATTCTGTTTCCTATTTCGAAACTAATTCCCAATTTAATGTAACGTGAATGTATACAGACAATATAAATTAGTACAGAAGTGATTTGGAAAAAAAAACAACAAGTAGTTATTTAATAAGGTATACACATTAAAGAACAGTGTATCAATATTGTATAATCAAATAATAATAAACAAAAAATTAAAAAAGGAGAAAGAAAAAACTTCAGTTTTTCAGAAGTTAATGTTTCTGCAATTTTTTTCCCCTCCGAAATCCAATGAAAAAGAGGTGGTCAACCTTTTAAGAACCTGTAACAATGCCTTTGGTTTCAATAAGAAAAAGTTACAAGAAAAACTTTCAAAACAATGAGTCTTGCATCTGCCTTGTTGCGTGTAAAATACCAGTATTTCGATTACAAAAATCATGAAGCTTGTATTTCAAAATGTAAGTTACATGAGATATCAAGTTAAATGGATTTCCGGCTAGTATTTTCTAAAAAAAAATCATGAAAAAGAAGGCTATTTCTCAAGATGGTCGAGGCGGACATTTCTTCAAATGATAACTGAACACCGTCATCGGAAGAGCTTGCTCGAAGATTATATTTTACACCCTTGTCTAGACATCAACACAGATCAAAAAACCCGGCAAAAGCATGTCAAGTACTAACAGAAGACAGTCAAAAAATCAACAGATTTTTATCACCTGCAAGGACATGAAGAAAAAATATAACTGAATAAACATAAAGACTGTTAATACTTATATTTGTATAAAATGATGAAAATCACATTTAACTTTTCAGATAAGAGAGTGAATGCTTTCCTTTAGCCCACATAGAAATTTAGAAATGTTCTTCTCTCCTTACATATATCTCTATGTGTAAATCGCAAATATATAACATCCCTTCGAATGGTAATGATCACTTTAACTTTTTAAAATTAGCAAACCCAACTTGTATTCTTATACCGGGTCATCCTGTTGACACGGATACAGAAAAGTATATATGCACACTAAAATACCATTCACACGAGGGCAGAATATCAACCTTACTTGAGCCACCATATACTTTGATAGTAAATACCTATAACATTTTAAATCTTAAAAATTGATAATATACAATAGAACTTATATGTGTAAATCTTTGATATTGCAATTTTCTCGATGTGTTAGGAAAATTTTGTCATTAAAACCAATTCATGAGACGAAGTCCACATGTTCACAGATTAGACACAAGTCTCTTCAACTTAACGAAGTTCTACTGTATTATATTTTATATGTTTACAAAATGCTTCCACAGTTCTGACAATTTGTTTTTTTTGTCCTCTCGTACAATTATTAGTACTAAATAATTCTATTCAGTGGCTCAAATAAGATATCATTCCCAAGCACAGGTATATAAGTTAAAGTTCTATCATAAATATGCAAATAAATCCAACATTCTTAACATTATAATGTACCTTATGTAGATCCAATAAGCTTCTAAATAACCCAGAACAATAAATAAGCATCAGTGTGGTCAGAAGCATTTAAACATCAATCTTCCCCCGAACACTGATTTCCAGCCGCTATATAAGGAATAAAACAAAGTTGGCCAAATTTAAATGCACTACAGATGATGAACAGTATTGCATGAAAACTCTTTTTCCAATTTTTTAACATTTCAGCCATTTTAACACCTCTGAATTGAAGAGAAGATGCCATAGGGCCTATATAAAAGTCGAGAAAAAAATATACCGGTATATATATTTACTGCTTTGTACAATAAACCCTTTCATCTTTATATTTTTCTAATAGAAAAATCATAACTTTTCTTGAATGCATTTATTTGACATTTCTTTTTAAACACATTTGTAACTTTTCCTCAAGTTAAATTAGTCCTGAAATGTTGTGTGGAGTTATTGACAGATTCTTGTTTCATATGAGCAACTGGAGCTGAAAGAATAGACAAATCCTTTAAAGCACCACACCTTCAGATTTATGCTAATTTTTCACGAAAATTCTGAAAATGTATTACAAAGTAAAACATTGTAAAGTGAACAAAAAAAGTAATTTGAGCCGTGTCACTACAAAACCAACATAATGGTAAAGTGAACAAAAACAGTAATTTGAGCATCCGCACAGTCTGATCAGGATCCATACTATTCGCTTACCAACTCTATTACAAGAAAAAAAACGTGGAAAAAAAATACCACTCTGACAATAAATAAATGATTCTTATCTTTAAAAAAAATGCATTTGAAATATTTCATCGTATTTTCATTTAATGAACAATTACAACTTTTCCAGTTCATAATATTAATTACATGTATAACAGTTTATTTATTTTCCCTACAAATTTTACTTACTTTGAGATACTGAAAAAAGGGACAAGACTATAATTATTGCCTTTTTTTCTTCAATAAAACATTTGAAAATTTAATCAATTCAGACATAATACTTTATCTGGCATGAATCTATACAAACTTACATCTGTTATATGAACAGATCCTAATATGACCCTAATCTGTCTTATTTAAATGTTCAGATTTGTGCATTTCAATAAGAATTTCACTACTGCATATTTGTTAACAAAAAAGCATATAATGTTTGTGGTTAAATCTGTTGTTATTCAAATAAAAGGTCATATTAGGGATCTATCAAACACAAGAAGAAAGTTACAATAATAAATTATACATAGGTTTCTTTAGCACTAAGAGTGGGAAAAAAATAATGACAAAAAAAAGAGAGACAATAATATCAACGCTGATACTGAACTTGTCGTAAGTCATGTACATGTGAGCCGCGTCACGACAAAACCAACATAATGCGTTTGCAACCAGCATGAATCCAGACCAGCCTGCGCATCCGAGCAGCCCAATCAGGATCCATTCTGTCCGCTATCAGTTTCTCTACTTGTAATAGGGTCTGATCGGGTTGCTCGGATGCGCAGGCTGGTCTGGATCCATGCTGGTCGCAAATGCACTATGTTGGTTTTGTCATGGCACGGCTCATATCTTTCTAGTAGTGGTTTCATTTCCAACACTTGCAGCCAATATGTATTACCTGTATTCTAAATTGGGAAAATGTTACACAGATATTTCATTCAGTGTTTTATCATTGTGACCCTATGATATCATACACAATATGTAAACAATTCTTACATTCAGAGTACATCCACGGATAAGAACTTAATTAAAACTTGAAAAAGAACAAACATTGGGAAATTACTACATTCGAAAAATTTACTTTGAATCTGTATTTAGTTGTAATTACCACACCTAAAAAAATGCATGATTTAACATAAAAAGGTATTCCTGGTATACTTTTAAGCTATTGTCAAGAATTTCAACAATAAGTGAAACAAAACATTTGTAGAGAAAAAAAAATATATTAAAATGAAAAAGGTCAGCAGAGTAAACAAAAAAAAGCACTTATGTTTCTCCCTTACAAGAAAATCAAGACTGACTTTATAAAATAATAACACTAGTTCATGTATATTTTATCAATTCTTATAATCAAAAAAAAATCTAATTTGAATATAAATCAAACAAGTCCGAATTTTTTTGTTTTTGTTTTTTTGGTAAAATGCTGTGTATGTACCTTTAAAAAATTTAAGCTTGAGTGACTATAATTTTCGTAACTTTTGAAAAGAGAGTACGGATAACTGACTTAAACTGGTATTGACAAGATTTCAATAATTATAGAAGTTACAAAAATACATTTTGCCGGTATATAGTGGCATTCACCTGATGACCGTATTACGTTGGTATCAAATCGTTCCTTCTTTCCCCAAGGGAAACAATCAAAGATAAATATACTTATATAGCAAGATGAAAGACCAATGTAATAGAGTCATCAGACGAAAGTAGAAAGAAATCATACAATAATTATCAAACATTAATCAACATCGTGGATCAAAGTGAAATTAGTGGTACATAATTTTTTTTTTGTTCATTTCTTGAAAGAAATAAAAAAACGGTTTTAATGAGCTTAGCTTTAAATTGTAAAAGTAAAACGCTCATTTTCTACATTAACGCTCTTCATGTGCAAGGACATGCATTTATTCCTTTGTTGATAAACGAGTAAGCTCAAGGAAAACTGCTATATTATGACAGTCTCAATTTCCAGAGAGAAACAGTTCAGAATCTATCAATTTTTTCAGTTTTAAGTCTATAAGAGTCGTATAAAGATTTTCTTTTGTAGATATCAGAAAGTTGCACCATCGGCCGGTTGACTTATTTTCATGTAGTCCTTTGACGCCAATATCCTCCGTATACCGGTCAGTAGCTGCTTTATTGTACATTTTGATGACCAATTCTTTAATTCTGGAACTAACTTAAAATCCACCTGAAACACATACAAGAAAGCCTTTATGCGATTTACAGAGGGGGACAATGACGGGGACAAAGTGATTTCTATAAAAGACCTCCCACAATATATCATACAAATGTATAGACTTTGAAAGATTCTAACAAAAACTAACAAGATGGATAAATTTTAACAAGGGCTGTTGCTGAATATCGCAATATTGATATTTTCATATATATTAACCATTCAATATAATAATAAACAACATAAAGAATACTGATATAGTCTAAAAGCTACTCATGTCTTGTAAATTATTTCTTTATTTTGTCTTAATAGAGGTCACAAATCTTTCCATTTTTCTTGGCTAACCTGGAACCCTGAATTCAATTTTCGTATGTCAGTGATAAACAAGAACCGGGTGATGCTCTCCAAATAGGTTTTGGACACAGGAAGGTATACCTCTTGTAGTGTCAGAGTTATGTCACAGACAAAGTTCAAAGTGTAAAAACAACCCAAATGTTGCGCGCGACACATTGTCTCAATATGGTGATCATTTCTGTAACATAGTTGTAAAATCCGACTTCAAATAACAAAGTTATGGCCTGGACACAATTTTCCTGCAAGGTCATGCTGTGACCTTGACCTTCAAGTTAGCCCCCCCCCCCAAATATTGCACGCGAAACATCATCTCAATATAATGATCATTTCTGTGAAATAGTTTTAAAATACGACTTCAAATAATGAAGTTATGGACCAGACACAATTTTGCTGCAAGGCCATGCTGTGACCTTGACCTTCAAGGTAGCGACCCAAATTTGTGCATGACACGTCGTCTCAATATGGTGATCATTTCTGTATAATAGTTTTAAAATCTGACTTCAAATAATGAAGTTATGGACCGGAAACGATTTTGCTGCAAGGTCATGCTGTGACCTTGACCTGCAAGGTAGCGATCTAAATGTTGCGTGCAACACGTCGTCTCAATATGGTGATCATTTCTGTGAAATAGTTTTAAAATCTGACTCAAATAACAAAGTTATGGACCAGACACGATTTTACTGTAAGGTCATGCTGTGACCTTGACCTTCAAGGTAGCGACCCAAATGTTGCGGGCAACACGTCGTCTCAATATGGTGATCATTTCTGTGAAATAGTTTTAAAATCCGACTTCAAATATTGAAGTTATGGACCGGACACGATTTTGCTGCAAGGTCATGCTGTGACCTTGACGTTCAAGGTAGCAACCCAAATGTTGCGCGCGACACGTCGTCTCAATATGGTGATTATTTCCGTGAAATAATTTTAAAATCTGACTCCAAATAAAAAGTTATGGGCCGGACACGAATTCGGGACGTACGGACGCACTACCGAATAGGGATAGGGGGCCATCTAACTGTAAACAGAACAAAAGAGAACAATAGAGTTCATTCCGTAACAATAGAGTAATGGGCCATTGGCCCTCTCTTAAACAATAGAAAATAACAAAAGAATTTATGGTCCCTTATTCCATTTCGGCCGGACGGACAGACGGACGGAAGGACAACCCGACAACTATATGCTCCCTTAAAATTTTTCAGGGAGCATAAAATTAATAGGAAAATATACTTTCTTTAAATATGTCCTATACTGTACAAGTGTAAGGTCTAAAACAAGCATGCATAGCACCAGAGGTGACTATTATCACTGTAATCAAAATTTATGAAACATATTCAAATAATTTTCACTGTTTTAAACTATTTCATTTGAAATGTTAATATAGCGCCAACATTTGTCTTTTGATATATTGATACAAAGTTTTTTCCCCGTAAATGACAGCCTTAATTTAGCAAAATGTGATTTGGTACATAGAAAACTCCTACTCACCAATCCTCTATCTGTTACAAAGGGTAGTTTTACTTTAGTAACAAAATGTACAGTAGGTCTCTCCTCGGGGTAATTCTGTCCACATGTGATATTTAACATAACCATTCTCCCTTCAAAATTGGACTAAAAATGCAAAGAAATATATCAAACATTAACTCTCTTCAACTTGCTCCATATATTTGGATATTTTTTTTACAGATGTGATTTTGAGGCCTTGGCATCTTGATTTTGGGCAAAAATATTGCTAAAATTGCTGATTTGGGAAGTAAACAAGAGGGCCATGATGGCCCTGGATCGCTCACCTGACACAACCGCATCCAAGCAATGTCTTAAACAAGCATCATGACCAAGTTTGATGACAACTGAGTCAAACATGTGACCTCTAGTGTGTTCTAAAGATTTTTCCATATTTGGGCAATGTGACCTAATTTTTGACCGGACACGACCCATATTCAAACTTGACCTAGAAATCATCAAAACAACCTCCCTGACCAATTTCCAGGAAATTTGGATCAAAACTGCAGCCACTAAAGTGTTAAAAAGATTTTTCTATTTTTAGCTCCTGTGACCTAGTTTTTGACCGGAGATGACCAATCTTAGCACTTGACCCAGAAAACATCAAAACAGCATTCTTGACAAATTTCCAGAATATTTGAATCAAAACTGCAGCCACAAGAGTGTAAACAAGCTTTTTCTATTTTTAGCTCCTGTGACCTAGTTTTTGACCTGAGATGACCCATCTTCGAACTTGACCTAGATATCATTAAAACAACTTTCCTGACAAATTTCCAGAATATTTGGATGAAAACTGCAACCTCTAGAGTGTTAACAAGCTTTTTCTATTTTTAGCTCCTGTGACCTAGTTTTTGACCCGAGATAACCCATCTTCGAAGTTGACCTAGAAATCATCAAAACAACCTTTCTGACAAATTTCCAGAATATTTGGATGACAAGAAACATGGCAATGCCATGAAACCAGGTTTTCAATTATCACCATTGTAGATAAATATGTTGTATTTGAAATACAAATACAAGCAACAAACAATGTAACTATGATTGTGCAATGTAAAACATGAATAATGTAGGAGGAATTGCCACTGAAGAAGTGTTCACTATAATATTATGTATAAGGAAAAAAACAAAGGGCCATAATTAGGTCAAAAACTATCCAATCACAAAACCCCGACAATATGTGCCAGGGTGCTTGATGACAAAGCTTCTGTGAAAGTTTGAACAAAATCCGTTGAGAAATGTAGGACGAGTTCAGCACAGAAGAATTTGTTCACTATAATTATATTGATAATTCTGTATAATGAAAAACAAGTTACAAAGTAGACATGAAATAATATATCATATCTTTTTTAAATTACCTCCAAAGATGATATGACCTTTGACTGCCAAATCAAGTTAAAATCATGTAAACAGGATTTTCAATGTTAATGTCACTGTGACCTTGACCTTGGAGCCAGCCATGCGGAACATGCGTTCTGCACGTCATCTTGATGTGGTAAACATTTGTCTGAAGTTTCATCAAAATTCTTCAAAGGGTTGAAGAGTTACAGAGCGGACAGGATTTTCAATGTTAATGTCACTGTGACCTTGACCTTGGAGCCAGCCATGCGGAACATGCGTTCTGCACGTCATCTTCATGTGGTAAACATTTGTCTGAAGTTTCATCAAAATTCTTCAAAGGGTTGAAGAGTTACAGAGCGGACACAATTTCGTTTGACGCCCGCCCGCCCATCTGCCCATCCGCCCGCCATACCCCAATCTAATAACCAGGATTTTCAAAATTGAAAACCTGGTTAAAAACTGCAGCCCCTAATGTGTTAACAAGCTTTTCTATTTTTAGCTCCTGTGACCTAGTTTTTGACCGGAGATGACCCATCTTCCAACTTGACCTAGATATCATCAAAACAACCTTCTTGACAAATTTCCAGAATATTTAGATGAAAACTGCAGCCATTAGAGTGTTAACAAGCTTTTTCTAATTTTAGCTCCTATGACCTAGTTTTTGACCTGATATGACCCATCTTCGAACTTGACCTAGAAATCATCAAAGCAACCTTTCTGAAAAATTTCCAGAATGTTTGGATGAAAACTGCAACCATTAGAGTGTTAACAAGCTTTTTCTATTTTTAGCTCCTGTGACCTAGTTTTTGACCAGAGATGACCCATCTTTGAACTTGACCTAGAAATCATTAAAATAACCTTCCTTACAAATTTCTAGAAAATTTGAATCAAAACTGCAGCCACTAGAGTGTTAACAAGCTTTTTCTATTTTTAGCTCCTGTGACCTAGTTTTTGACCGGAGATAACCCATCTTCAAACTTGACCAAAAATCATCAAAACAACCTTCGTGACAAATTTCCAAAATATTTGGATGAAAACTGCAGCCCCTACAGTGTTAACAAGCTTTTTCTATTTTTAGCTCCTGTGACCTAGTTTTTGACCGGACATGACCCATCTTCGAACTTGATTTAGATATCATCAAAACAACATTCTTGACAAATTTCCAGAATATTTGGATGAAAACTGCAGCCACTAGAGTGTTAACAAGCTTTTTCTATTTTTAGCTCCTGTGACCTAGTTTTTGACCGGAGATGACCCATTTTCAAACTTGATCTAGAAATCATCAAAACAACTCTCCTGACAAATTTCCAGAATATTTGGATGAAAACTGCAGGCACTAGAGTGTTAACAAGCTTTTTCTATTTTTAGCTCCTGTGACCTAGTTTTTGACCCGAGATGACCAATCTCGAACTTGGCCTAGATATCATCAAAACAACCTTCCTGACAAATTTCCAGAATATTTGGATGAAAACTGCAGCCTCTACAGTGTTAACAAGCTTTTTCTATTTTTAGCTCCTGTGACCTAGTTTTTAACCCGAGATAACCCATCTTCGAACTCGATCTGTATTTCATTGAGACAAACATTCTGACAAAGTTTGATGATGATCCAATCAAAACTGTGACTGCTAGACTGTTAACAATCCAATTGTTAGAGTGTAAACAAGCTTTTTCTATTTTTAGCTCCTGTGACCTAGTTTTTGACCGGAGATGACCCATCTTCGAACTTGACCTAGATATCATTAAAACAACCTTCCTGACAAATTTCCAGAATATTTGGATGAAAACTGCAGCCTCTAGAGTGTTAACAAACTTTTTCTATTTTTAGCTCCTGTGACCTAGTTTTTGACCCGAGATAACCCATCTTCGAACTTGATCTGTATTTTATTGAGACAAACAGTCTGACAAAGTTTGATGATGATCCAATCAAAACTGTGACTGCTAGACTGTTAACAACCCATTTGTTAGAGTGTTAACAAGCTTTTTCTATTTTTAGCTCCTGTGACCTAGTTTTTGACCGGAGATGACCAATCTTCGAACTTGACCTAGATATCATTAAAACAACTTTCCTGACAAATTTCCAGAATATTTGGATGAAAACTGCAACCTCTAGAGTGTTAACAAGCTTTTTCTATTTTTAGCTCCTGTGACCTAGTTTTTGACCGGAGATAACCCATCTTCGAACTCGATCTGTATTTCATTGAGACAAACATTCTGACAAAGTTTGATGATAATCCAATCAAAACTGTGACTGCTAGACTGTTAACAACCCAATTGTTGACGAAGCACGACGACGGACGCCGGACATAGCCCCATCACTATACCTCACCTTGACCACTTCGTGGTCAGGTGAGCTAAAAAGCTGGTTTAAGTTCAGATATTTGGAAAACTGCATGATTTTAAAGAAAATTTCAATTGGGAAGAGGCTTTTTTTCAGAGTCTGTTATATCAGTAGGAAAATCACTGAATTATTATTCAGCTTGACAAATATAGAGGTTGTAGTTTGCCTGAATTACAAAAACACCACATGCCATATATTTTAGCACTGGGTAATGTAGTTTAACACAAGAAGGCTTCAATAAGTTTACACAAATCAGCCTTTATAAACCACAAGGATGATCCCAATTTTGGCATCAATCATATACATGTATAGCTTGTTTAGAAGACCACCGAGTAAAGCTACAGGTACATGCGTAATACTAATAGCTTGGAGCATTGTAGTTATTTTGAAGAAGGATTTTTTTAAAAGATATTTGAGCCGCATCATGACAAAACCAACATAATGGGTTTGCGACCAGCATGGATCCAGACCAGCCTGCGCTTCCGCGCAGTCTGATCTGGATCCATGCTGTTCGC